TGGTTGATTTGTTTAGTCACCCATATTTCTAGATGTTCTATCATTATAGAACGTATCTTTGCGGCTATGATTCATCCTTAACTTTTTTGTTGCTGTTGTTGATCGCCATCACGTCATAGCGACCCTCTAAACAAAAGACCTGAAGCCTTTTTATAACTATCATTTCTCAAAGTTAGGAAGTGGATGCCACTCTTGCTTCCAAACCTGTCTTAAACTGGGAACTCCACCAAATACTGTCCACCATTGGTAACTGTTATGACATTTGACACCCCAAAAGCACAGAGTTCAGCATCACAATAACCACAGGTTACTTCAGTACAGCAAATTGACAGAATAGTGCTATTCCACTTAGAAGAATGTCCCTCCAAAATATTATCAAAACCAACTTTTAAATACATTATGCACATATATTTTTTTCATATACAAACATTCATTCTTTATGACATCTATCTTGTCCTATACAACCAATAACTCAGTTTTGGTAATGGTTTAATACATATTTATGCTATGGCATATAATAAAAAATGGTGTCATTCTTTGCTTGTGTTAGTCTCCTTGAGGGCAATGAGTATAAGTCATTAGTATTTACACTCAATTGCATTTGCAGATGAGAATATAGAATTAAGACCTGTAAGTCAAGGATATTGTGAGGCAATTTTAAAAACACAGCCTTCAAATACATTATTCTTCCCAATTCCGTAGTTTTCAATCCTTAGAAATGTTGAAAAATTAAAACACCTGAGAGATTAATTAAAATGTAGAATTTGGAGCTCCATGCACAGAGGTCTCAATAGGTCTCAAGTTCAGTCCAGGAATATTAATATTAAGTTAGTGTCTCTGGAGATTCAAATATCTGTGGTCAGATTTATTTAGTAACTCCTGACTAAAGTTTGAAATATTTAAAATAAACACACTCCTGGAAAGGATTTTTAAAATTTATGATCTATGTTTTTCTAAGCAAAGTAAGGGGGAAGATATTCTTAATGAGGGCTTCTACTCACAGTTTCTGATGATTCGCATTTAATTGTTCAAAATAAATAATTCATAATAGATAATTATTTATAAGATTCATTTGAATTCATCCTTATTTTCAAATAATGCAAAAAGAAACATGAATAACCTCAGAGAGCCTGTTATTATTTGGGACCATTCTGTGATAATAACTCCCTCAGGAGAAATTACAAAATTATTTAAGTAAAATTTCAAAAAGCTGAGTTAAAAAACAGGTATTTCTGTTGGGATGATACATCTTGTTCTCCTTCCACCTTCACTCATAAATATGTAATATACAGGCCTCAAGACTTTAAGTCAGATTCTGGGCTTATTTTAATTCTTAGAATTTATTTCTTTGAGAAGAAAAGTTAAATCATATTTATACATAACATACATAAATATTTTGGATGGTAGATGATTTGTACCTATCTATATCTTGCCAACTCTTTACAAACCACATGCATTGAATCAATAAATGGATAAATAAGTAGAGACGTCAATGCCTTCAATGGTTCCTCTTTACACATGGCCCAGCACCTGGATGCTGGAGGTCATTCTTGGAAAGTATCTCTGAGCTATGAACTTGGCTACAATGATGGCTATCATTCCACTTCCATGCCTGATATTATCACCTAATTATTTTAAAAACTTTATTTTATTTCAAACAATTTGCTGCTGTGAAAACTGTTTAAATACAGCAACAATACTGAGAGGAAATTTTTTTAGTTCTGTAGTGTCTACAGTAGAAGTGTTCAAGATTGGACTTCTTTGGTGTGACTCATAGACATTTTGACAAGAAACATGATTCAACTGTATGCAGAATATTAAAATGTTAATAAACAGAAATAATACTAGGTCAATTTTTCACAACACAATGATCATCTCTTTGTTTTAAATTTCCAATGTACATGATGAATAAGCTCAAAAATATCAGAGATATATATTAATTCCTTCAGTTACTAATAGTTATTAAATCTTAGTATGTGCCTCAATAAGATGAAGATAGATTTCTTCCCACAGAACTTTCACTCTTGGGGGAGGGAAAAGGTCAATTGCAACTTAGAATGTTGTAAGAGTTTATGAAGAAATGAAATTGATAATAATTTACAAAGGTTAAAGAAAGGTCTAGCTTCGCCCCTGCCCCCCACTGCATTCTTAAGCTGTGTTCCCCAGTCTTAAAACTGATCGGAACAATAAAGATTTGAAAAGAAGAAAATAAGTCTGACTTTGGAGATATAACAAAATGTTTTATAGATTCTTTTTTCCATTATACATTTTAGTTCTTGATAAAATATTGCATGCCACTGTTGTTGTGGTTAGGTACTATCAAGCAGGACCCTGAGTGACCCTATGAACAACAGATGTGAATCTGTCATGCTGTCCTCACCATCTCTAACATATCTGAGCCCATTTTTGCAGTCACTGTGTCAGTTTATCCTTCTGAGGGTCTTCCTTTTCACTTACTTTCCATCTTTCCAGGAATGATACAACTTTCCAAGGAATAGCCTTTCCTAACAACAGCCCAGAGCATGGCAGACAAAGTTTCCCCACCCTTTCCTCTAAGGAACACTCTGACTCCTCCTCGTGTAAGACACATCTGTTTGTTCTTCTGGCAGTACTTCTCCAGTATCAAAATTCAAATGCATCTCTTCTAATTGACAAATACTACATTGCATAAGGGTACCATGGACTGCTGGGAAAACAAACAGAGTCATCCTGGAAAGGGTTAAACCGGGCAGCTCCTTGGAGGCAAGGATTATGAGGCTCTGTCTAACATACTTTGGACATGTTGTAAGGAGAGACCGGTCCTTGGAGAGGGACATCACGCTTGGGAGGGTGGAGGGACAGCACAGGAGGGTAAGGCCCTCCATGAGGTGGACTGATTCCGTGACTGGGGTAATCAGGATGGGTGTATCAGAGATAGTGCCGAGTTTAGGGCTGTTGAGTCGCAAGTGACTCAATGGCACATAACAATAACAACAACAACAACATTGCATAAGAATGTTATTAATATAGTGTTGTATACTTTGGGAACCCATGGGGTGAATTTATACATTAATGCTATCACAATTACACATATTTTATGTGATAATTCACACATAGGAGCTTGGAGGCATTTTGTTTTTAATAAAATGCCAAAATTTAAGAACGTCTCAAAAGAAAGTAATTAAACTCTTGAATGAAAATATAAGTGTATTTGAATGCATAAGAGTGTATGTGGGGTGGGGTGTGTGTGTGTGTGTGTTCAACTAAGTTTGACTCACTAAGTCTTTCAGATTTACGGAACTCCATTTTTTGTATTTCATGCTGTTCTTTTCTTTAACTGACTTAGGATTCCTAAAATCTTCCAAAATAACATTCATTGCTTTGTACTTGCTCAAGTATCTAAATTCTGTGTCTTTCATTAGTTAGTTTGGAAGGAAGATGTTGCTTCCTTTCAATAGACTCTGTAACATGTCACTGGTTGTTTTTTGGGTTTTGGGGTTTTTTTTCTGTATTGTGAAGGAAAACCCTGCAGGACCTTTAGTATCTTACTTTCCTCTGTAACTTAAACCTTCTGATCTCCTTTCCCTCTCCTGGCTGAGCTCCTCTGGACATATAAACCAGTGGATACAGAGCCCATTGGATGTTGTTTTCATTAGGTTCTGTCAAGTCAAGTATGAGTCATAGCAACCCTATAAACCACAGATCTGAATCCTATCCTATCCTGTGTCATTCTTACGATCTCTGACATACTAGAGCTCATTACTGCATTCACTGACTGTGTCAATCCATCTCATTAAAGGTCTCTTACTGACCTACTGTCTTTCCAAGCCTGGAGTCCTTTTCCAAGGAATGTTATTGTTTTTATATATCACTGAATTAGAATCAGCCCATAGCTGACCCTTCAGCGAGTTTTCTGGGCAGTATATTGCACAGAAGGAGATTACTCACCCAATAAGTTATCTAAAGTGTGTGAGATGAAGCTCCACCCTCCTTGCTTCTAAGGAGCACTCCACTCTGGCTGCACTTTATCTCAGACATAGTTATTTGCTCATTTTTCTGTCCAAGGGATGGGCAGACTCTTCTCCTACACCACAACTCAAAGGCATCAGTCTTTCAGTCATCCTTATTCACTGCCCAGCTCTCAGACAGCAGATGATTGGAAAGAACACAGATTAAATTGGGAGTACGTTGGTCTTCGAACCGACATCATTTCTCTTCAGGATTTTGGAGAGGTATCTGACTGCAGACTTTTCTATTGCAATGTATCGCCTAATCTCTTGGCTGCTGGTGTCAAGTGTGTTGACTGTGGATTCAAGGAAGACTCACAGCTGATTATCTTTCAGGTTTTTTGGAAGCTGAAATTGCATGACAAAAGATTGTCCATCTTTGTACTAAGAAGTGGTCGATTTGAACTACTTGATTTTGGGTTGGCAGTGTAACTCCTTACTTAATAGGTCACCAGCGCTCCCTTTACAGTAGCATAGTACTTTATCTCTGTTCCAATTTCAATCCAAGGGCAAAGTTATGAACTATATGTTCAATTTTTGTTAGTACCTTTATGAGACATTAACCACACTTATGAATCTTGAACAGTTTTTATAGACATCTATATGCTTCTCAGTAATATCTTTTCATGCTTAATAATTGGCTACCATAACATATTTTGAATGTAAAAAGAATTATCACTGATACATTTCTAAAGAACTTGTAGAAGATTTGCATTCCGAATAGATATTCCAAGTGAATTTTCAGGAAGAAAACCTCCTCCTTTGCAGTTGCTACACTTCTTTCCTGAAAGTTAGTTTAGAAGTCTCAGCGCCACAATTAAAATGTCATTGAATCAAAATTTGTAGGCCTGAGTATTGCTTTTTTTTAAAAATGTGTTTTTCATAATCAAGCTTAACTTTTTTGCAGAAGTTGTTCTAGGCTATGGAATACTTTTTCTTAGGCTATGAAATACTTTTATTATAAATTTCCTGTAGCTAAAAGCAACTTGGCAATAAACAGTGATGTCTACTCACGTTTATCTTGTTCTGTTTCTACTCCTTCACTCTCTGTGTCACTTGGCAAGATCCATGGCTGATGAACGACCTGCAGTTGCTTTAACGATTCATCCTGCCAAAGAACAAAAGTATTTCAGATGAAACTCTAGGCTGATATTGCACACACTGAGGTGGATGAACATTTCAGCCTCCATGTGTGGCATATTCAAAACTCACTAAAAAGAGTTTTCCCTTACTGAAGCCAGAAAGTCTGATGGAACTTTCTGACACAGAATTTTAAAGAACAGTGATTTGGTATTTTCAAAGGGGAAATTTAAAGAATTGCAGGGCACTGTAAGTAAAAATCAGGAGGAGATTTAAAAAAAAAACCAATCAAAAACAATGCAAATTAAACAAATGAGGCATTAGAGGCACTGGAAAAACAAGGTACCACAATACAAAATATGAGGTCCAATGTTTCAACATGACGGGAGGGACACAGGAACAGAGTTGAAGAGGTGGAACACAGAACCAGTAAAATAGAAGACAGAATTATCACCACTGATCTGCTAGAGCAAAAAGCAGATTCCAAAAGGAAGGAAAAGAAAAAAAACCTAAGAATAATGTGGGACATCATCAAGAGAAATAATATGCACATTATCAGAATCCCAGAACAGGAAAAAGCTAGCAAAGTCACTGAAAAAGTTGTTGAAGAATTGCTAGAGAAAAACTTCCCAGGCATAATTAAGAAAGAGAGAATATATATTCAAGAAGTTGAGTTAACACCATATAGAAAAGACCTCAAAAGAAAAACACCAAGGCATATCATAGTCAAAGAAACAAAAAGAGATCTGGACACGTGGAAGAATAACCCTTGCTCATGGATAGGAAGACTCAATATTGTGAAAATGACAGTACTACCAAAGGCAATTTACATATTCAATGAAATCCCAATATAAATACCAATTCCATTCTTCAACAAGATGGAAAAGCCAATTTCCAATTTCATTTGGGATGGAAAGAGGGCCCAAATAAGCAAAGCACTTCTTAACAAGATAAACAAGGCAGGAAGTATCTCACTCGCTGATTTCAAATCCTACTACACTGCCCTGGTGGTCAAGACAGCATGGTACTGGTACAATGACAGACACATAGATCAATGGAATAGAATTGAGAACCTGATTTAAAAAAAAAAAAAGGGGGGGGGAGCTCTGGTGGCCTAGTGGCAAGGAGCTGCAACTACAATCCCAGAGGCGCACAGTTCGAATCCACCAGATGCTCTGCCGGGAAAAGGAGGGACAATCTCCTCCTGTACCAGTCAGATCTGATTTGACGGTACACGCACACAAAAATTTAAAAAAAAAAAAAAAAGAATTGAGAACCTGGAAATAAGCCTATCAACCTATGGTCAACTGATTTTTTTACAAGGAGATGAAATCAGTTAAAGACAGCCTTTTTAAACAAAATTTTTGGCAAAATTGGAAAACTATCTGCAGAAAACACAAGCAATATCCACATCTCATTCCATACACAAAAACCAACTCAACATGGATCAAGGACTAAAACCAAGAATTCATTAAAGAATAGCTTGGAAGAACTCTAGGAGCCCTAATCCACAGCATGAACCGTCTTTCAACAATTTTGAAAAACCTACAACCAGGAGAGGATAAAATAGATGAATGGGACCTTCTAAGAATCACATCCCTATGTACATCCAAAAAGTTCTCCAACAGGGTAAAAAGGGAAGCCACAGACTGGGAGAAAATATTTGTTAATGACATGTCTGATAAGGAACGTATACCTAGAATTTATAAAATACTCAAGCACCACAACAAGATACAGGTAAATAACCCAATTGAAAAATGGAATATGAACCAACACTTCAAAGAAGACATTCAGATAGCAAATAAACACATGAAGAAATGTTCAAAATCCCTAGCTCTAAAAGAGATGCAAATCAAAACAACTATATCATTTCACCCCAGTAAGAATAGCAAAATTTAACAGAACAGCAAACAAATGCTGGCAAGGTTGTGGAGAAACTGGAACCCTTATTTACATAAGGTGGGAGTGTAAAATGGTGCAACCACTGTGGAAGGAGGTGTGGCGCTTTCTCAAAAAGTTGCAAATAGAGATACCATTTGACCCAGCAATTCCACTACTGGAAATATACTCTTAAGAAACCAGAACTGCCACTGAAGCAGATATATGCTCACCCATGTTTATTGAGACTTTGTTCATAATAGCCAAGTGTTGGAAACTACCCAAGTGCCTATCAACGAATGAATGGATAGAGAAACTGTGGTATATTCACACAATGGAATACTATTCTGCATTGAAAAACAAGCAACTCATGCAATATTATTCAAAATGGGTGACCTTGGAGGACATTATTCTGAGTGAAAAATCTCAGTCACTAAAGGACAAATACTGCATAGTGCCACTCTTATAAAGTGGGACTGATGTCGGAGTTGGGGAAATACTAAGAGGGGATAGATAAATAATGTATACTGCCTTTAAACAGATGAAAGGGAGAACTGTTTAGGAGAAATATATGATTAGGTATTATTGTCATGACAAGAGTCCAGAATGAAAGCTGCATAATGGAGAGGACTGGGAGGGGACTGTATAAAACAGAACTTTTATTTTTCTTAACTTTTCAAAGAGAAAAGCAAACTAGGGCAAGGATTGGGCTGGGAGAAAAGAGCGCAACACTGAATGAATGGAAATCCAATGTCTCTGTAACCTTTCATTAAAATACAAATAATAATAAAAAAATTCCCATGGCATAGAATAGTTCCAAGTTAAAGAAACTTTTTTGTACCATTGACATGTCTCAAACTCTGAATACATTTTATTTTTGCATCCTCCTTTTAATACAATTTAGGCTTTTTTTTTTTTTACAATTTAGACTTTTAATAAATGGAAACATCTAACTATGTTCCTTTCTGAATTAATATTTCTCTGGAAACTGGCACCAATTCTTGGAAACATGATCAGGAAGAATTTAAATATAAAATTGCACAAAAATATTCTTTTTGGTCATATACATTTTAAATACTCTTTAATGAGATTAAAGGTCACAAAGAAAGGATAAAATATTCTAAGTTACCCTTTGTGCCACTTTTCTTCTTTCCTCTTCATACTTCCTTATTCTTAGTCTTCCTTTCTGATTGATAATTTTGTTATTGGGGTTTTAAAATATTGTCCCCTTTTTTATTATGCTGATTTTGCCCACATACTTTCCTTCAGTGACATTATGTTTCATACAATCATTCCCATACATTGTGTTTATAGAATTGGACACCACTGCCCACAAATACCCCATCTTTTCAGGTCCTTGCCTGATCTTTCCATTTCCTTTACTGCCTCCCTCTACTCACCAAGTGATGCAACCCTGTGAATTCCCCCTCTACCCATCCTTACTCCCTTGCCCCCACCCTTTCTGCCCCCATCCTTGGACCCCCCCCACATTATACTAGTTATTCTTACACTTTTACAATAATGATCCTATGCAGTATTTGTCCTCAGGAGACTGAGCGAGTTCACTTAGCAAAATGCTTTCCAGTTTCTCTCAAGTTACGTAGTATTTTTCAAAAACATTGTTCCTGATGGCTGCACAGTATTCCATTGTGTGAATGCACCAGTTTCTCAATCCATTTGATTATGGGTGGATATGTGGGCTGTTTCCATGTTCTTGTGATGGTGAATAATGCTTAAAATTGACTCTCATCACCACCTATTCTGGCACAAACATCTGTGAAACCTATCAGAGTACATGGCAGTCTAAAGGGTTAAAATGCTTGCTTCTTAACTAAACGGTTGAAGGTTTGAACCTACACAGAGATACCGCAAAAGAAAGGTCTGGCCATCAGTTTGAAAAGACAAACAAAACACAGCTGGAAAACTTTAAGGATCACAGTTCTACTATGACACACACGTGGTTGCCTTGAATTGAGATGAACCTGACAGTAACTATTTAATGGGTACTGGTTATGAAGTCTTCCGGGATTGTTTCCTCTCTTCCACACTCTGCATTTCCCAACAGAATGAGTTTTGTAAAATGAAATATGATGCAACCAGCACTCTGCTCATAACCCTTTGTTGGGCCTCTCATCAATCACAGGATGATTCAAGACCTTCAGGATCCACCCTCGTCTGGCCTAAAAGCAAATCCCATTCCCATTCTCATGCAATTTTAGCCAACACTCTTAATCCAACTTTAATACTGTAACATGCTAATTTTTCCTCCCACAAATTTTTAATGTATTTATCTGCCTCAAATATTTCTATGTCAAACGTTTCTTCCAAGTTATGTGTCGTTCCTCTGTTGAAAGCTTTCCCTGACCCTACAAAGGAGTCAGTTCTTTATTTTCCTTATGTGACTATTGTAGCAACATCACCTTTACAAAGATAGCAACTGTCTTTCCAAGGTAAAAGACTGCAGTGTTCAGTATGGATAGCATCTGAATAGAAAGTAAACAAAAATCTTTACAACTGAATCAAAGGCAAAGAAAACAAAAATGCAGAAGAAGGCATCTCACTGAAGTTGTTGTTAGGTGTCTTCGAGTCAAGTATGACCCACAGCAACCCTATGAACAATAGATCTGGACCCTATCCTATTCTGTGTCACCTTCACAATTTTTAACAGACTTGGGTCCACAGCAGCTATCAGTGTGTCAATTCATCTGGTTTAGGGTCTTCCTCTCTTTCATCGATGCTCCACCTTTCCAAGCATGGTGTTCCTAAGGAACAGTCTCTCCCAGTAACACACCTGGAGCATAGTATCCAGGTGTATTAATCAAAACAGCATAGTACTGGCACAGCAACAGACACGTAGATCAATGGAATAGAATAAAAAATCATGATATCAACCCATCAACCTCCTATCAACCAATACTTGAAAAGCTAGCGGTCCGCGACCCGGGCGGCGGCGGCGCCGACCTAGCCCCGTTCCCTTCGCAGGCGCCAAAACCTATCACATGGGGTAATGATAGTCTCTTTAACAAATGGTGTGGCAAAACTGGAAATCTACCTGCAGGAAACCAAAATAGGATCCACATCTCATACCATACACAAAACCCAACTCAAAGTGGATCACAGATCTAAAGGTAAAGCCTAAAACCATAAACA